CACAGTGACTCTTACTGTTGGTATTTATATTGCTCAAGACAAATATCAAAGTTTTATTTTATTAACAGTGTTACTTTAAATAAACAAAAAATCTAAAGGATTTCAAGCCATGCAGACTCATTATTATAGTGTGGATAGAGTGTGCTTAACACATGGAAGTGTGGAATGAGCAGCTGCCTTTCAAAGATGTGACAGCATGACAGACTGATGTGGTCAAGCCTGTCCTATCAATACAGTTTGATTTTTGTCTGAAAATATTCACCACCTAGCCTCAGAAAACTAGCCCCCTAAAGTAGAAAATTAGTTATGCTATTTAAGGCATGAAGAGATATTTACACTTCCAGCAGCTGTGCAGAACAAACACATGATAGAGGAATGTTGAATTCCTGTTTTCTTGCCTGGGTGACCAAATAAAGCTACTCTTACCTTATCAATGAAATCTAAAAAATGCAGTGATTAACCTCCATTTACCTTTGTAATGCTGAGAAGTATTTTAATCAAGTCACTTGCGAGGAAGTTTTGAGGTAACCAGGTCTGGAGAAAAATTTTCTAACGGTAAGCTTCATGTAGTATTTGCATGATTTGATCTTAACAATGCAGTGCTACAGTGTGGGTCATGGTACTATACCAAAGTATAATTTAAATAATAGGGCTGCTTGTTTCCATTTCTGGCAGGAAAAAGGCATCACAAAGCTTCTTTCTTTGTGACTCATTCCATGTTGGTACCACATGCATGGAAGTCAAACGCTTGGTACAAAAGCATTCTTCACTTGGAAAAAATTTTGTCCTTTGCCTATGCAAAATCAATGGCTTTAGGCTTTTTATAAATGATTGGTAGCTTCTAGGCAGATATTGGAAATTAAAGTTGAGAAGAAATAAAGCTGTTGTTGCCATCAGCAGAATTTAATCTGACTAGGTGGGATTTTCCGTTTGTGTTGGCAAACTGAAGCATTACATATTTGGACTGTTTATTCCGGTAACCTTAGCTAGCCTGAAGAACTGCAACATTACTCTTTTGATTAGCTCCACGCAAAAAGATCTTGTGAGATGGAAAGATCTCCTACTCTTTCTATATTTGGCAGGATCAACTCCGTAAAAATGTCCATTTTGCCACTCCTCTGATACCCCACTGCAGCTGCTTCCTCCCCTCATCCCACGGTGAGATATTAAAAAGTCTGCATGGAACCATCTCCAAGTTTATCTGGAGGTACAAAAAAGCCAAGAATGCGTTTGTCAAGGTTACAAATATCTAGGGAACTCAGATAGTTTTTAGTCTAACTAGCTCTTCAAAATATAATAGAGGCCTGCCAGCTGAAAATTATTAACTGCTGCCTGATCTGGGATTGTGAGTGCACTCTACAGGAGAGGGAGCAAGCATTATATGTACCTATATTTCTGGAGTTCTTACAATACCATAATAGAGCCATCCTACCACCAGATGTGCTTATAATGCTCTCAAAGTGCACTCTTTATATCTAGGCAATTGAGGCACTTATTTAATGTCATCCTCCTGTCTTGTAACTCAGGTTTCCTTTTTAGGGAGTGATAGGATTACTTCCTTCTCCTGAGCCATATGTAGGATTTTTTTCTTGGTTGTGTTTTTTTTTTGGGTTTTTTTTTTTTTTTGGTTTTTTGGGGTTTTTTTGTGAAATAGTCTTCCACAAGTCAATTATGTTTGAATTGATCTTGTAAGTTATTTCAAAAGTCAAATGAAGCCTTACTTTGATGACTGCAGAAAACTTTAATACTCTTATATAGGTTTTTAAATATGGTTAGACATATGTTCTTTCCTTCAGCTTGTTTAAATGCCAGAAAGGTAATTATGAAGTGTTAGTTGGTCAGTGCCTCTTTTCATCTGTGGCATATAGTAGAAATTATCACTATAGTCAAGAGGAAGATAGAGATTTTTTAAGTTAATAGGCTACATGATTTATCTCACATCTTGGGGAATAACTGAAAGTTGTAGCTTTAAGATGACCCAACAATACTTTCCCCAGATTATTTTGTTGTTCTTCTTTATCTGAATAATACATTTGTCTTTTTTAAAAAATCTTAACTAAAAAGTAATGCTAAACAAATAATTCCATCAGGGGTAAGGTCTGCTCTCAAACCTATTTTCCAAGCAGATTCATTATTTCACCCAATAGCCAATGCTACTATTTTACCATTGTACCAACTCTAGGAAGTTTCAATTCTCTGTATGCAAATTCAGTGTTTCATGAAAGATCAAGAAATCTCCCAACACCAAGGGGTCTACAGCATGAGATCAAGGCTATCACTTGTGTGTTCACTACTTTCAAACAAAGGAACTATCAGCTATTGCACTCTCTGCAATGCAGCTTTGGGGAAAAATAGTAAAGAGAAACAGTTCTGCAAACAGCAATCTTCTAAAAATGCTATATCATGGGAAAGGGGGGGCATGGCTGATAATGCCATCAATATATTTTAGATCATTTTTTTGCACCTGTTTAAGGTAGGTATCAAATATGATCTCCTCTGTAGGCATGGCTAGTTGAAAAAAAGTCATAACGATAGTAAGAATGAAAATAAGTGCTCTTATCTCGCTCAAGGGTAATGATTCATTTTGGTAATGATAGAAAGACAGGTCCTGAGGAGACTTCCCTCTCTTAACTGGAGAGAAAAGAAGTATTAATGTCCCACCATGTTCACTCTGAAGTACATTTTTAAGTCACTGGAGGAATACTGATATAAAACAAGTATACAAGAAGAGCCAAGTCTTTTGATTTATGGCATTCAGCTTCTGAAGTCTGCCATATACCAGGGAAACCCATACCTAGATCCATGCTATTTACACCAGTTTTCTATCAAAGCAATAGAATTGTTTTAAAAGAGACATTTTTGCTTTATAACATTACTTGGCTATAACATACATAACCATATGATTCAGAAACTGAAAAATATGTCCAGAATTTCCCCTCAGTGTTCACTTTTTGATTAACAATACAGTTTTTATGCTTTGTTGTTGTTGTTGTTTCTTCTTTTTCTCAGACCATTTTACTGTGGAAAGATACAGAACTGGATTCTATCAAACTAAAAATTTTAATGCTTTCCTTTTCTAAGGTGGTGTTAAGCAGGAAGGCAGGAAGGAAGGAAGAAGGGAAGGGAGTTATCTCTAGGAGCTCAGTTGTCACTCTGTGATAATCTGGGGAAGCAGAGAAGGATTAGATTACATAAATAAAAAGACTAATGACAATGCTATAGAAATTACCACAATAATCTGCAGAATGCTTAAAACTGATGCTTTGTGACAGTGGAGAACAGAAACTACTACCATGACTTAAATAAATTCTCTGTACTTATATAGCTGGACTGTCTTTTCTCCTCCTAAAACAATATTTAATATTTATGTTATTTTCAGTATGCTAAATGCTTTTAGATTAACTATTCCCTTCAGGATAATAAACTGTCTCTTCATTTAGTTGTACTACTCAACATGATCTTTGAAGAAAAGAACATAGAATTTATTCGGGGCAACACTTAATTCTAGACCAAATTCACCATTATTAAATGTAGAGCTATATCCAGCTGACTGATTCCTGTCAAATTTGCCATCAGATATTTTTTTTAAATTTATTTATCATTGTTCAGTTTCATGCCAACTCTACCTTTGTCACCAAGACAAGAATTCATTCTTTCTCCCCTTAGCTGTCAAAATCAGGTGTGAGTCTAAAAAGCATAGACAGTGGAAATGAAAAAAAGGCAAAATTTTATCAATTATTTGATACAAAATAATGTACTTCAAAAACATAATTACCATACATAAGTAACTGAAAATTACCCCAGTGAAACCTGGTACTGTGGTCAAATCAAACAAGAAATTGCTGTGTTTTTCTGGAAAAGCTCAAAGGCACAGCCATTTTCTAGAAGCTTTCAAAGCAAAAAGCTGTTGGATTTGCTTTTATGAGTAAAAATGTGTTCATTTTTAAAATAATTTATTATTTCATTTATTTGCTGGATTTGATATATGTACCTATGGCAGGTGCTCAAGAAAATTGCAAATCTTCTTATATGTAGACTTCACAAATCATTATGCTATTTTGATACCTACTTTTGACTATATCATCATCTTACTGATTGCATCTAAAGCAATCCCTAAATCTCATATTAATTCCTGAAAAAAGAATGACTGTCTATCAGTGGGCAAAAAGCTTTCCATTTTAATATTAAAACTGTAGGAAATATTTAATGAGATTTTGTGTACTTGAGGCCAGTATTCTAAACTTCTTTACTAAAACACATTTTCAAAATGTGTACATTGATGTAATTATTATTTGAAATGTGACTTCACTACCTATTTAGTGTATAGACATGAGATCCTGAAACACTTTAATACATGTGTAACATGGATATTTCCATTAGAAATCAATGTGACAACATGCATGATGAAACTTAAGCACATGCAGAAATGTTTCCTGGACCAGGGTTTGGTGAGCAGGAAACCAATAACAGTGATAAGAAATTCCATCATCTCCGCTGCTTTTACTAAGCAGGGGTTTAAAATGCCTGTATCCCAGTTTTGCTGGCGTTCCCATTTTTGCTGCCATCTGGAAACAGGATGTTCAGAAACTCTGCATTAATGGCCACTGCATATACTTAATAGGCTGAACCAAGTTGCTTGTATTTGTTGCATGCAGGCAAACCAACTCCTTGTGCATACAGTTTTTGGGACCAATCCCCTCTTCATGACATCAGTGTGGACAGATTAGAAAAGACATGCACCCATCTAACAGATCTATCACTCATGCTTCTATCTTCCATCTCTGCCTAATAGATGAAATTTATCTGTAAGTGGTACACATGAAAGTATAAATTACTTTCATAGCAGAGAGATAATAAATATATATAATTTTGCTTAAAACATTCAATCTGATGTATCAACATAATTATTAGCATAATAAACAGGAGCTTTACTGTGAGGAGCTACTAATCCCTGGTACATATTGGGCAGGCATTTAAAGTCCATTATTTTTCATCAGTACCTGTCTTTCAGTGAGGTCAAGATTTACTGCTATCTCATATCTTCTCAGCCTGGTCAAATAGTTGTGATGAGCAAATTCTGCTTCTAGCTCTCTGATTTGCTCCTTGGTGAAAGCTGTCCTTTCCTTCCTGGGTTTACTGTTGACCTCTGTCTTGTAGTTGCCTTCTTGGGAATCTGAAAAAAAAAAAAAAAGCAAAAAGTGATGTAATGTAATGACAAGTGTACAGCTAAATAGAAAACAAGCCCAAAGACAACAACAACAACAAGGTAAAGTTACATCTTTCAAACTTTCTTCTCTCTGAAACACACCCTTGCTTTCATTCCTATGGATCCTTCGCTGTAAATCAGGAAAGCAGAAGTAATTCTGGCAGACTTGATCTGCTGCTTCCATTGACACACATCAAACTTTAGCTTAAAACCTTGCAGTGTTTCATTTTCTAACAATTCTCTGAAGAATTTCTGCAAAGCTTCAATTCCTTCCCACTGCTGGCAACTCTCAGTGCATCCAACCAGTACAGGATGTGTATCATTTGATTACTGTAAATGAGTAATACCTCAAGAATCTCTCTCCCCTATCATTTCACTAATACCTTAAGCCAAAGCTGTTTTACAGCAGACACTTTAAGGTTTAGTGCAGTTACACTTTCAGGGAAAGCAACAGACAAAGCACAGGAAACTGACTACACGTCAAAAGGAAGTTGGTCCTATCCCATGTCCCATGGGATCTCCTGCTCACGCTATAGTGCAGGTAGGAGCTTTTTGGCACAGCTGGTATCAATATAGGAAATTTGCTACCACTGATGCTCATTACCTAAGGGATACTTTGGCCACAATAAGAGGAGCTTTGCTGAAAGTTTCATTATCACCCTCATAATTCCTTTTACTCCCAGAAACAGGTATATTTGGTCCTGACCCAAACTACTGAACTCAGTAACTCAGTGACAGTCATTCTATTGCAGTCAGTGAAGTCAGCTTAAATAAATGAATGTTCAAACCATAAGGAAAAAAAAAGAGAGTGGAAAGAAAAAAAAAAAAAGGAAAGAAGAAGAAAAAAAAGACCAGACATTTGTAAGTTTGGGTATGATACAACACCTATAAATCCAAAATTAGCAGGAGATCAGTGCAAGTATCATTAGTCAAATTCTGGCCTCACGAACCATCTTAAAAATGTCACAGATTAATTCACACTTCAGCTGTTGATTTAAATAGAAACGTGCATCAACATCCAAATGAACTGGCTCACAAAAAATCCCTCCCTGGGACTCTGTGTCAGATGAATCATCAGCATGCCTGAGCCTGTCCAACTGGCCAATGAGTCTGGTTTCAAATCTACATTTTATAAAGGTATAAGAATATTTTCACTTTTTGTCAGTCACTCTGTTACTTTGAAGGGAACTTTGGGGGGTATTGAGTTGTTGTTTTTTTTTTAATGAGAACTGTTGATTCTTGACTCAGTGCTATAGTCAATAATTTAAAATGTTTTAAAGCTACTGGCTGCATAGCACCAAACCTCTGCTTTTGCTGACATAACACACAGAACTTTGCTTCAAATGTGAAATGTAGTACTGGCTGTATGACTTAGAGTGTCCATCAAAGTTGTTGAGTGTATCTGGGAGTTGTTCAGCCACAAGTACAGCAGGGATTTCAGGACATTAGATGGCAGGCCCATTGACAATAGTGTGGGGCCGAGGTCTATTTCCAAACTCGACATAGAAAACTTGATGTTTCAAAACCACTTTACACCTAGAAATTAACATTTCTTCCTTTATACTAATAGGCAAAGTAGAGTCACTGTAACTTCTCTCCATGTTTTTCTGTTTCAGGAACATGCACGTTGGTTTTTTTCCTTTAAGTTTCTCTGTCTGCTATCCCATTATAAGGTCCAAATACTAGTAGATCACCTGAATTTAAATACTTAAACCCCTAAATCCCCATTCCATTGAATCACCGATGAGACACACCTAAATCATTATTCTTACCATTTTGGCTAACCATTCCTATACTGCCAGATGTGTTTCATACAGGTTTGAAAGCAGATGGGTGTGCATAGTCATTATGTGCTGCATGACACAGAAATTAATTTTATGTAAATAATTTCTAAAGTCCTCTTATAACTGTCCTGGTCATCCTGTGCCTGTGGGAGGCCATGAGCCAAGAAGTCTTCCCATGTCAGTACTTGCTGTGAGAGGGATCCATGGCTCACTGCTTTCCAGACTAGAGGTTGTGTCCTTAAATAAAATTAATGTACCTACATATGACACTGATACCATATCAAAAATTAAATACTAGAAATGAAGACATAAGTCTGGATACACAACAGAAAGAGGGATCAAGGCTATGAAACCTTGGTAGCTACTTCTATTGTGAATATTTGAAGGGAAAAGCTTAAGGAGTACCCGTCCAAATGTCTCCCAGGAAGACACTGATCTCTGTAAGTGACTGAGACTTGTAACATGAGCAATTTTGGCAAGCAGATGATTCCACGAGGAAAACAGCTTTGCTGCACAGCAGCAAATGGCTTTTTGTAATATTCAGAGCCAATGGTTCTTGGGATACTGAAAAGGGAAGGGGAGGAATACTGGGATAAGGAAAGGGGAATATAACTGCATTAGTAGCCTACGTCCATTATCTTTGCCAACAGACAGGATTCAGAACTGCTATCAGTGTTAGCCCATACAGATCCCGTGGAAATATAAGCATTCTTGGACTATTGGTTATTTAGACATTTCTTCCATTGCTGGATTCTACCTTTAATTCAATGCTGGATTCTAAATGCCTGACAGCCATAGTTTTGTTAGCAGTAAGATTCCACCAGCAGAGTGACACAGTGGAAAAGTTGCAGGGTTTTATTTGTTTTTGAGAATATTATTGATTGGATTTGTTATAGTGTAAAAACCACATGGTATATTCAAACACTACTGAAAGCAGAAATTGGAGAAGTACACAGAAATCTGGGACATGTACAGAGAGCTGACTCCCTCTCAATACTGAGGTAATGCAACGGAGCAACTGGAATCTCAGGAAATCTGTTTCAAAAAAAATACAGCCAGCAAGACAATGGTATTTTGCTTAATGCATTTGAGATATTGAAAAGATATCTAAAAAGAGACTTAAATGGATACTAGTTAGGTAATCATGAGTCTCTTGTTGTCATCCTGCTTGCTGCAGTGTCACTGTGATTCATGTGCAGGTTGCCTTTTGTGTCCTGTTGATGTTATACTGCTTGGAATTTTAGTTTTAAAATTTGGCGTTGTTTTAATTTCCAAGGAGAAAGAATCTAGGTTTTCTAATTGGCTGTTGTTTTTTTAACAGTCTCTATAAAGCCAAGATTGGGAACTCCCATCTCTTTCTGACCTTCAAGACTCTGTTCATATCACCTGACTAGCTTCTCTTTGGTGGAAAATGGGTGGGAGACTTGGAAGAGATTCTTGGCAGAACTCATGTCAGCCTACATCTGTTTTGCAGCTGTTGCAACTAAGGCAAGAAAAAGGTCCCAAGAACCTTAGTTTTCTTCTACTGGCTACATCTTATGCCAAGTGGTAGGTGTAGAGGCAGAGAACAAAGCCTGGGGGGAACTCAGTTAGACTACTTGCCTCTCAAAAGGCACACATAAAATACATACAGATGGTACTAACCACTTGATGAAAAATACAGTAATCTATATTGTCTGTCTTCCGCCTTCTGCCAGACCAATTCTGGCACACTTTCAGAAGATGTAGCCTACATGCAGGTATTTGTACCTTATCAGTCTCTCTTCTGGAAACCTTTGTTCTTTAGATGTCAAGTAATGTAGGCAGTTAAACACTGCTTTGAGGGATGCAGGTCATGCCTTTTCTTAGAACTGTTTTTATCACTTTTCAAAAACTCCAGGCATCATCTTTAATATCTCCTGTTAGACAAAAATACTTGTTGGTAACTGTTGTAAGAAAGTACTGTTTGGAAAGACATTCAGAGTTATAAATGGCTGTTCCACAAATCTTTGAAGACTAAGATTTTTGCCAAGTTTAATAACAGCTCAAGATTTATTTTTAAAAAAATAATTCCCAATCGCACTATTCCCCACCCTCAAAAGTTACTTCTGCTTTACTTTAAGGAATGGTTTGTTCTTAATCCCAGCATTTGTATTATCCCATCAGAGTTCCTATTTCCTTCTCTCTACATCAAGAGCTGAAGCATGCCAAGCAAACACAGGATCAAATTCCTATACAGTGATAACTTTGATGGTTTTACTTCTGATACCCACCTAAGGAAAAGAAAGACTGATCACAGAACATTGAAAGAGACTGCTGGAGGTATCTATGGTACAAAGATCTGCTAGTAACCAGGTAGGGTCAGAATCAAAGGTAAAATGTGCAAGAAACATCTATTTTTTTCTTGGATTAGTTCAACAGCTGGCATACCTTCATTTCTCAGACAGAAATGAACATTCACTTAATACCAGGAATGTAAATCCCCAGACAAAAATTTTCAAAAATTAATCAGATTGCTAGTGTTCTATTGGTAGTTACAGAAGGTTTTCAGATCCTGATATCCACACTGAGAGTGAATAGAGACAATGACCACTAATGATTTTTGACAAAAAGGCCGTAAGAATTTCACCTTTATTGCTCAATATTCAGGTTTTTGACTTTCACTAACAGTTTACAACACTTACCTCTGAAAAGCCCCCAGCACTAGCAAACAATTTCTGAATTTATTTCACTATTAATTTATAGTGAAGTTGGATAAATTATATGTACTTAATTGTGTATCTTCCTATAAATGATGATCAAGAAAACAACTACAACATAGGCATCTACTTTGAAATGAAGCTATCTATGCAAAGTATTAAAAGCAAAAATCTTGCTACTTCTGAGTATTTTAATGTTTTATGAAACAATATTTCTTTCAAACATAAATCTTTGACATTTGTTTAAATAACTGGTATGTAACAAAACCTTCTAGAAATCCAAAAACACAATAATGATATGTGATTCAATTCAAAATGCTTGCTTACTTTTTTCTTTTGAGATATGAACAATATGAACTAAGGAAAAAGTAGCAAAGAGATGGTGCAAAGGTCTCCATATGGTTCCTATTTTTTTGCCAGAAACTACGTGTGAGAGCAAGATTTACCCAGAAACAGTCACCTTCAGACATTTTTGACATTTAATACAGAGTATTATGAAGTTTTT